CAGGAGTTTGAGACCAGCCTGGGCAACATGGTGAAACCCCATCTCTACAAAAAAATACAAACATTATGCGGGCATGGTGGGGCATACCAGTAATCCCAGCTACTTAGGAGGCTGAGGTAGAAGGATTGCTTAAACCTGGGAGATCGAGGCCTTAGTGACCCAAGACTGTGCAACTAGACTCCAGCCAGGGTGACTTTGAGACCTTGTTCAAAAAGAAATCTACAATCTGCCAAAACTATGCTGGTTTTCCAGTTTTTCACCTTGAATTGACAGCCCAGAGGTTATTGTAAACAATTCTAGCTTTACTTTCTATTTTTGTTTTTTGTTTGGAAGGAAGGAAGGAATTAAAAATAAAATATTGGTGGCCGGGCGCGGTGGCTCAAGCCTGTAATCCCAGCACTGTGGGAGGCCGAGGCGGGTGGATCACGAGGTCAAGAGATCGAGACCATCCTGGTCAACATGGTGAAACCCCGTCTCTACTAAAAATACAAAAAATTAGTTGGGCATGGTGGCGCGTGCCTGTAATCCTAGTGACTCAGGAGGCTGGGGCAGGAGAATTGCCTGAACCCAGGAGGCGGAGGTTGCGGTGAGCCGAGATCGCGCCATTGCACTCCAACCTGGGTAACGAGCGAAACTCCGTCTCAAAAAAAAAAAAAAAAAAAATATTGGTTGTATATATGAGAATTTTCGTAAAATAAATGCAAATGAGAAGAATGGTTGCAAGATCCTCTTGGCCAGATGTAAAAAGGTTGTCTTTCAAGATCCCTAAAATCTCCACACACTCATGTCCTCATCCCCTTACCCCCCAGAGGGAGCCACTGACCAAAATTTTATCATTCCCTCATTTTCCTTTTATAGTTTTACTACATGTTTGATTTCCTAAACTAGATACTGGCTTTCAACTTTATATGTATTCTTTGAGACTTCCTTTCACTCATCTGAGACAGATATTCTTACCTGTTGCTGTGATTCATTCTTTTTCTAGTTCATTCTGTGAATATTGGAACTGTTGAGCCTTTGAATCTTAATAGCCTTTTTAAAATTCAGTTACAAAAACTGCCGTCAACATTTTTCCACATTCTGTAGGTGCACACAGACAAAAGATTCCCCGGGGAATGTATTTAAGAGTGAAATTATAGTATCATTGGAAGTATATGTGTTTAACTTCACTAAAATATGAACAAATTTTTCAAAGTGGTTATGCTGATATATATGCCCACCAGCAGGGTATAAACACTCCTGCTGCCCTTTATCTTCACTAGCATTTGATATCGTGAAACTTGTAGTTTCTCACAGATGTTAATCACGAGCTTCTTTGATGACTAATGAGATTGAGCATCTTTTCATATGTTTACTGGCCATTTATGTTTGTTATTCTTTGATTGCCCTTTGACAGGTTGCTCCATTTTTTTATTGAGTGTTCATTATTTACTTACTGATATGTAAGAGTTTATAATGCATTCTGAATAACAAACTTTTGTCTGTCATGTATGTTATGTATGTTGTACATATCGCTCGTTTCTGAACCTTGTATTTTCAATCATTGTAGGCTGTTAGAAGATGAAGAAAAAGTCTTTAATAAAGTTGAGTTTATCTCTTTATGATTTGGGGGGAGGAAGGGGGAGAGAGAGAGTGTGTGTGTGTGTGTGTGCGTGCGTGCGTGCGTGCGCGCGCACGCATGCATTTGAGAGAAAGATTTAAGAAATTGTTTTCTACTTCGAACTCATAAAAATAGTCTGTATTGTCTTCTAGAGACATTTTTTATTCTTTCGAATCTGTCTTTAAACCATCTGGAACTAAATTTCTGTGTATATGGGATATGGGGAAGAGATCTAATTCTGTTTTCCCCACATGTAGATAATCACCTATTCAGCACCATTTATTGTCTATTCCCTTTTTTTCTCAATGTTCTTTAGTGATTGCTGTGGGCTTTCCATTCTATTCCATAGGCCAGTTTGTCTCTACCTTGGTGCCATTCCATCTTGTTATTATAGCTTTATTATTTGTTATTGTGTTATTTATTATTTATTAGTGTAGCTCTTGATATGTAAAACAAGTCCCTCTATCTTGTTTTTCTTCGGAGCATCTTGACTGCCCTTGGCCCTTTTTGTAACTTGCATCAAAATTTGCGTTAGCTTATCATGTCCCACAAAAAAATTCTGTTTAAATTTTAGTTATAATTGTATTGAATCCACCAATCAATTGATGTTTTGTTATGAACGTCAATTATTAAGTGTCTTTGAATACATTTTTACTAATTTGCTTCATAAAGGGCTGCCTATCTTTGGTTAGATTTATTTAGAAGCACTTTTTAAAAATGCAGTTGCAAGTGGCATATTTTTTTTATTGTGGTAAAACATACATAGCATAAAATTTGTTTTAACCCCTTTTAGGTGTATAATTCAGTAGCATTAAGTATGTTCACATTCTTGCGACCATCACCATTGTCCATCTCCAGAATTCTTCCATTATCCCAAACTTGAAAAATTCTGTATCTGCTAAACCCTAACTCCCCATTCTCCCTTTTCTCCAGTTTCTGGTAACCACTGTTCTACTTTCTTTCTCTTTGATTTTGACACATCTAGATGAAATCATAAATGACTTTTTTTTCCTAAGATAGCGTCCCACTCTGTCACCCAGGCTGGAATGCAGTGGCGCGATCTCAGCTCACTGCAACTTCCGCCTCCCGGGTTCAAGTGATTCTCTTGCCTCAGCCTCCTGAGTAGCTGAGATTACAGTCACACACCACCATGTCCAGCTAATTTTTTTGTAATAAATGACATATTTTTAATAATATGTTTTTCTATCTGTTTTGCAATGAAGAAAGACAATCAATACTTTATTTATATGGTCTCTAACAGCCTTGCTTACTACTTAATTCTAATAACTTAGCTGTATTTGAGTTTTCAACATAAACAAGCATATCACATATGAATAAAATTTCCTACTATGAAACTCATCCACTGAATTTTAAATTTTAACTTTTTTTTTTTTTTTTTTGAGACAGAGTCTCTCTCTGTTACCAAAGCTGGAGTGCAGTGGCAATCCCAGCTCACTGCAACCTCCACCTCCTGAGTTCAGGTGATTCTTCTGCCTCAGGCTCCCAAGTAGCTGGGATTACAAGCACCTGCCACCACGCCCAGCTAATTTTTGTATTTTTAGTAAGATGGAATTCACCTGACCACAGGTGATCCACTCGCCTCGGCCTCCGAAAGTGCTGGGATTACAGGCATGAGCCACTGCACCCAGCAAATTTTAGCTTTTTTTTTTTTTTTTTAAAACAAGTAGAGATGATGAGATCTCTCTATGTTGCCTCAGCTGGTCTCAAACTCCTGGCCTCGGGCAGCCCGCTTGTCTCAGTCTCCCGAAGTGTTGGGATTATAGGTGTGAACTGTGGTACCCAGCCCTGTTCAAGCTTCTTTCTTTCCTTTCTTTATTATTATTTTTTTCTTTTTTCAAACAGGGTCTTGTTACCCAAGCTGGGTGCAGTAGTGTGATCGTGGCTTACTGCAGCCTTGAGCTCCTGGCCTCAAGCATTCCTCCTACCTCAACCTCCCAAGCAGTTAGGGCTACAGGCACAGGACACAAGTGGCCCAGCTAATTTTTAAATTTTTTTGTGCACAGAGTCTCTCTCTGTTGCCTAGGCTGGTCTTGAAATCTGGGCCTCAAGCCATTCCCCTGTCTTACCTTCCCAGAATGCTTGGGATTACAGTTGTTAACCACCATACTCAGCTATTTCTTTTAACAGATCAAGAATTATTTGATTCCAAATTCTGATATGAACTCAATGACTGTCTGATTCTGCTACTCCTGCTAGTTCTTTCTGATGGTGCTTTGTTTTTTTGTATGCATTTTATGATATAAATTATGAACTTATTCCTTGGATGTTTGTTTATGCCAGATGTTTGGTGGCAATTCTATTTAAGACTACTTAAAATTCTTGACCCAAGTTCTTTGGAACCATTGGTAGAATTTGGGCTATAAACCCATGAGGACTGGTTTTGGTTATTGCTTTTTGTTATTTTGTGCCCCCAAGGCAGGGGGGCCTTCACTAGGGTAATTTTTATAATCCCCTAGGGAGGATTTCTATCCCACACAGGCATTGAGGGTATATTAGAGTCTTGGTTTTATGAGAAATCTTATGTTAATTACTCCACCTTCAGTAGGCCTTTGTCCTGCAATGTTGTGGAACTTAAGCTCAGATTTTTACCTGCTCTGGCAAATATCCTCATGGTGAAAAGCCCCCTTCAGTGCTTCCAGTTACCAGTTCCTCTTTCTCTTGGTTTTTACCTTCTTGCTGACTTATCAAGGCATTTTTTTGGGGGTGGGGGAGCGGGCGTTACATTGTATCAGTCATTTTACTTTAATTAAATTATTATTATTTTTTAAAGATAGGGTTTCACCATGTTGGACAGGCTGGTCTTGAACTCCTAACCTCAGGTGATCTGCCTCCCGAAGTGCTGAGATTACAGGCATGAGCCACCATGCCCGGCCCTATTTATTTATTTTTTATTGTGAGACAGAGTCTCTGTCGCCCAGGCTGGAGTGTAGTGACGTGATCTTGGCCCGCTGCAACCTCCGCCTCCTGAGTTCAAGCAATTCTCAGCCTCCTGAGTAGTTGGGATTACAGGCGCCTGCCACCACGCCTGGCTAATGTATGCATTTTTAGTAGAGATGGGGTTCCACTATGTTGGCCAGGCTGGTCTCAAACTCCTGACCTCAAGTGATCCACCTGCCTTGGCCTCCCAAAATGCTGGAATTACAGGCATGAGCCACCGCACCCGGCCTGTATCAGTCATTTTAAATTATTTTCATTTGGAGTATATATCAGAGTAATGAATTCACCACATGGCTGAAAATACCCATATCATTTTACTATGTCCTTTCTAGTCATTTTGGAAAGGATGTATGAGGTTAAATGAGCACCTGAAACATTTATAAAAATGAAATCAAGAGTGGCTTTTTACAACTGCTAACTAAAGATATTTCTTTTTTTATAGGTGTCAGCTGTGATGCATGTTTAAAAGGAAATTTTCGAGGTCGCAGATATAAGTGTTTAATTTGCTACGATTACGATCTTTGTGCATCTTGTTATGAAAGTGGTGCAACAACAACAAGGCATACAACTGACCACCCAATGCAGTGCATATTAACAAGGGTAGATTTTGGTAAGTAATGAAAAATGTAGTGAATTACCTTATTTAGAATTTTATGTATGAGTGAAGAAGTAAGGCAAAGTGTTCTAAAACTCCCCAGCAGCAAACCATGAGGCCCCAAATTCACTAAAAATGAAATAAATCTTACTTTTATATTCTAAGCAGTTCTGTCTCTTCATCTTAATCATAGTTTACTTGTTTAAAAAAGCCATTCAGAAATACATAAAACAGACAAGGTATGAAGTAGAAGAGCACTTCAGTAAAGAAGAAAATACGGTCTGTCTTCTGTTCTTGCTATTAAAACACAAGTAATAGCTCTTTTTTTTTTAAAGACAGAGTCTTGCTCTGTCGTCCAGGCTAGAGTGCAGTGACGCAGTCTCAGCTCACTGCAACCTCCATCTCCCACGTTCAAGCGATTTTCCTGCCTTAGTCACCCGAGTAGCTGGGACTGTAGGCACATGCCACCACACCCAGCTAATTTTGGTATTTTTAGTAGAGATGGGGTTTCACCATATTGGTCACACGGGTCTTGAATTTGTGACCTTGTGAACTGCCTTCCTTGGCCTCCCAAAGTGCTGGGATTACAGGCGTGAGCCACCATGCCTAGCTGTGGTTTTTTGTTTTTGTTTTTTTGTTTGTTTGCTTTGGAGATAGAGCCTCACTCTGTTGCCCAGGCTGGAGTGCAGTGACACGATCTCAGCTGACTGCAGCATCTGCCTGCGGGGTTCAAGCCATTCTCATTCCTCAGCTTCTTGAGTACCTGGGACTACAGGTGTGTGCCACCATGGCCAGCTAATTTTTTTGTATTTTTAGTAGAGATGAAGTTTCACCATGTTGGCCAGGCTGGTCTTGAACTCCTGACCTCAAGTTATCCGTCTACCTTGGCCTCCCGGAGTGCTGGAATTACAAGTGTGAGCCACCATGCCTGGCAGTAATACCTCTTGTAGTGACCAGAAAGCAGATTGTTGGCTGCGTGTGGTGGCTCACACCTGTAATCCCAGTACTTTGGGAGGCTTAGACGGGCAGATCACTTGACCCCAGGAGTTTGAGACCAGCCTAGGCAACATGGTGAAAACCCTGTCTCTGCCCCCATTCCCCCCAAAAAAAATACAATAAAAAAAATAATAAAAATACAACAACTTAGCTGGATGTGGTAGCACACATACGTCTGTCGTCCCAGCTACTTAGGAGGCTGAGATGGGAGGATCACGTGAGCCCAGGAGGTCGAAGCTGCAGTGAACCCTGATTGGGCCACTACACTCCAGCCTGGGCAACAAAGAGAGATGCTGTCTCAAAGGGGAAAAAAAAGCAAATTGTTTGTACAGTTCATTAGAAGACATTGTCTGTAAGAAAATATATAAATGTTTCACACTATAATTTTTTTGAGATGGAATTTTACTCGTCGTACAGGCTGGAGTGAAGTGGCACAATCTTGGTTCACTGCAGCCTCCACCTCCTGGGTTCAAGCTATTCTCCTGCCTCAGCCTCCCGAGTAGCTGGGATTACAGGCGCCCACCACCAAGCTCAGCAAATGTTTGTAGTTTTAGTAGAGATGGGGTTTCACCATGTTGGCCAGGCTGATCTTGAACTCCTGACAGGTGATCCACCTGCCTGTGCCTCTGAGTGTTGAGATTACAGACGTGAGTCATCATGCCTGTCCTCACGCTATGATTTCTTACCTAGCCAACACTTATTTGTCCTTTTTATTTCAGCCATCCTAGCAGGTGTAAAATAGTATCTCAGGTGGTTTTGATTTATATTTCTGAAAATTATGTGGAGCATCTTTTCTTGTGCTTATGGGCCATTTGTATATCTACCTTGAGGAAATATCAGGATCCTTTGCCCATTTTTTAATTGGATATGTCTTTGTTATTGAATTGTAATAGTTCTTTATTCCATATGTAAGTTTCTTATCTGATAGATAATTTGCAAAAATTTTCTCCCATTCTGTGGGTTGTGTTTCACTTTCTTGGTGGTGTGCTTTGAAGCACAAAAGTTCTAATTTTGATAATGTCCTGTTTATGTATTTTTTCATTTGTTGTGCCTTTGGTGCCATATCTAGAAAACCACTGCCTAATTCAAAGTGACAAAGGTTTAAACCAGTATGTTCTTCTAAGAGTTTTATAGTTTTAGCTCATTTAGATCTTTGATTCATTTAGAATTAATTTTTATATATGAAATGAGGTAAAGGGCCAGTTTTATTCTTTTGCATGTGAATATTCAGTTGTCCCAATATTTTTTGTTGAAAAGACTATTCTTTTTTGTTTGTTTTTTGTTTTTTGAGATGGAGTCTCGCTCGGTCACCAGGCTAGAGTGCAGTTGTGCAATCTTGGCTCACTGCAACCTTCATCTCCCAAGTTCAACTGATCCTCCTGTCTCAACCTCCTAAGTAGCTGGGACTACAGATTTGCGCCACCACACCCAGCTAATTTTTTTGTATTTTTAGTAAAGATGGGGCTTCATCATATTGGCCTGGATGGTCTCTATCTCTTGACCTCGTGATCTGCCCACCTCAGCCTCCCAAAATGTTGGGATTACAGGTGTGAGCCACCACACCCGGCCTGAAAAGACTATTCTTTACCCAATGCATTGTCTTGGCACTCTTGTTGAAAATAAGTTGACTATCAATGAGGGTTTATTTCTAGACTCTCAGTCTATTCTGTTGTCTGGTGTTTTTTTTTTTTTTTTTTTTTTAAACAGGTCTCATTCCGTCACCCAGGCTGGAGTGCAGTGGTGTGATCTTGGCTCACTCCATCTTCCACCTCCCAGGCTCAGGCAGTCCTCCAGACTGAGCCTTCCAAGTAGTTGGGACCACAGGTGCAAGCCACCACGCCTGGCTAATTTTTTTATTTTTTATAGAGATGGGGTTTTGCCACATTGCCCAGGCTGGTGTCAAACTTCTGAGCTCAAAGTAATCTGCCCATCTCAGTCTCCCAAAGTGCTCAGATTACAGGCATGAGCCATCATGCCCAGCCTGTATGTTTGTTTTTATGCCAGTACTACACTGTCTTGATTTCTGTAGCTTCATAGTAAGCTTTGAAATCCAGAAGAGTGAGAGTCTTCCAACTTTGTTCTTTTTCAAGAGTGTTTTGGGTATTCTGTGTCCCTTTCATTTCTGTATTGTAGAATCAGCTTGTCAGTTTCTGCAAAGAAGCCAGCTAGGATTTGAATGGGATTCTGTCAAATCTGTAGATTAGTTTGGAGAGTATTACTGTCTGTCTTAGTAATATTAAATCTGCTAATCCATGAACATGGGATATATTTCCATGTATGTAGGTCTTCCATAACTTCTTTTGACAAACTTTTTTAGTTATCACAGTGAGTTTTGCACTTCCGTTGAATTTATTCCTAAACATAGATGGTCCCCAGTTTTTGATGATTCCGCGTATGATTTTTTGATCTTATAGTGGTGCAAAAACAATACCTGTTCAATAGAAATGGAACTTTAAGTACATACAACCATGCTTTTTTTCATTTTCAGTGCAGTGTTCAATAAATTACATAAAATAGGCTTTATTACGTGGTTTTGCACAACCGTAGGGTTACATAAATGTTCTGAGCACATTTAATGTAGACTAGGCTAAGCTATGATGTTTGGTAGGTTAGGTGTAGTGAACGCATTTTCAACTTAAAATGAGTTTATCAAGTTTATTAGGACATAACTCCATTGTAAGTCAAGGAGCATCTGTATTATTTTTACTATTGTAAATGGAATTTTACTTATTTATTTTGAAATGGGTTCTCTGTTGCCTAGGCTGGAGTGCAGTGGTGCCATCATGACTTATTGCAGCCTCAATCTCTCAGGCTCAAGTGATCTTCCCATCTCAGCCTTCCAAGTAGCTGGGACCACGTGCACATGCCACCACAGCTGGCTGAATTTTAAATTTTTTGTAGAGGTGAAATCTTGTTACATTACAAACGCTTGTCTCAAAATCCTGGGCTCAAGTGGTCCCTGGCTCAGCCTCCAAAAGCATTGGGATCACAGGCATGAGCCACCATGCTCAGCTGTTTTTTTATTTTTATTTTTGGATGGTTTATTGCAACTGTATAGACAAACAATTGATTTTTTTGCATATGGATTTTATATCCTACAATGTTACTGAACTTGTTTATTCATTCCAAGAGGGTTTTATGGGGTTTTTTGTTTGTTTTTTGGTTTGTTTTCTTTGAGATGGAGTCTCCCTCTGTTGCCCAGGCTGGAGTGCAGTGGTGCAATCCCAGCTCACTGCAACCTCTACCTTCCAGGTTCAGGCGATTCTCCTGCCTCAGCGTCCCAAATAGGTGGGATTACAGGCATGCACGATGACACCCAGCTACTTTTTGTGTTTTTAGTAGAGGTGGGGTTTCACCAGTTGGCCAGGCTGGTCTCAAACTCCTCACCTCAATTGATTTACCCGTCGCCCTCCCAAAGTGCTAGGATTATAGGCGTGAGCCACTGCGCCTGGCCCCAAGAGTTTTTAAGTGGATTCCTTAGGACTTTCTGTACACAAGGTCATGTCATCTGCAAATAAAGATCATTTTACTTCTTCCTTTATATCTGGATGCCCTTCATTTACTATGGATACATCCTCCAGTAGAATACTAAATAGAAGTGGCAAAAGTGCATAACCTTGTCTTGTTCTGATCTTAGGGAAAAGCATCCAGTCTTTCACCAGTATATAATGTTTGCTAAGTTTTTGGTAGATGCCCTTTATCAGATGAGGGAGTTTTATTCTTTTTAATACGTTTATCGCCAGCTACTCCAAATCCACCTGACAAATCTTGTGCACCTAGTAAATGATCAATATATACATAATGCATAAAAACTTTTATGATAATTTAAATCTCCTTAAAAACGAATATGAACAAATCTATCATGTAATAAACACTTTCTTCCATTATCTTTTCTCACAAAAGCTCTCTCAAATTTGTTGTTTGTTTTATGCTAAATAATCAAATAATCCTTTGTAGTGGCATAACATACTGAATATACTTTCATTTTATTTTATGTTTCTGTCTTAACTCTTTTTTCTCTTACTGTAAGAAAACCCTTGAAATTAGGTAATTTCTAAAGGAAGCGGGTCTGCTTAGCTCACAATTCTGGAGGCTAGAAGGGCCAAGATTGGGCGTTTGTGTCTGGTCAACTTCTGGTGAGGGCTTCATTCTGTGTCATAACATGGCAGAGAAGCAGAAGGGGAAGTGGGCACATGCAAAGAGACCAAACAGTTGTAAGTGACAAGCAGCCTCATTTTAAGACAGCTCACTCTTGAGGGAATTAATTCAGTCCTGAGAGAGCAAGAACTCCCTTTTGAGATAAGGACCACCTAAAGACACCACCTTCCAACACCACCTCATTGGAGACCAAGCCACAGCATGAGCTTTGGTGGGGACAAACCATATTCGAACCATAGCAGATACCTAATGGAAGAAATAGACTTATTCCTTGAGATACACTTATGAAGTAAACAGATTATTCTCACAGACTCTAACTGGTTAGTTTTCCAGTAACCCAATTGTGTGAAATATTCTGTGACAGGCCAGGCATGGTAGCTTATTCCTGTAATCCCAGCACTTTGGGAGGCCAATGTGAAAGGATCATTTGAGCCTAGGAGTTCAAAACCAGCCTAGCCAACATACTGGGACCCCGTCTCTACAAAATTTTTTTTTTAATTAGCCAGGTGCGATGGCACACACCTATACTTCACTTATGTGGGAGGCTGGGGCAGGAAGATCATATAAGCCCAGATACTGAGTCTGCAGTGAGTTGTGATTGTGCCATTGTGCTCCAGCCTGGGCAACAGAGTAAGACCTTCTCTCAAAAAAAAAATTTTTTTTTTTAAATTTTGTTGGAACTACCTTAAGTTAGCATTTACAAAATAATGAAATATTTAGGGTCCTTCCTTCTCTAAGAGCAGCATGTAGATACATCTGGGTTCTCATATTGATCATGGTTGTTTGTTCTTTCCCTCTGAGCACTTTTGTCCTTGTTACGTGATAGACCCTGCTGATTTTTTTCTGTTGGTATCAGTGTTGCCACAGTATATACAGATAAGGAAAAAGTAAATTACAATAAAACTAGAGCCAGGTATGAAATGAGCCATGTTTCAAATAAATGAAGGAGGATGGAGTTGTTTGCTTAGTTCTCTCTTAAAGCTGTATATCTGGGGAAGGAATTTTGGAGGAATACCATGAAGTCCTCCTGGGAATAAGGACATTACAAATGTAAACAGGTACCTTAGCGCTCCTTGACCAAGTGAGGTTGTTGAATATTTTAGGCACACTTTCTTTTGTAGTGCAGTGGCATAATCTCAACTCACTGCAACCTTTGCCTCCTGGGTTCAAGTGATTCTCCTGGCCCAACCTCTGGAGCAGCTGGGATTACAGGCACCTGCCACCATGCCCAGCCAATTTTTGTATTGTTAGTAGACATGAGGTTTCACCACATTGGCCCAGCTGGTCTTGAACTCCTGACGTCAAGTGATCCACCCACCTTCGCCTCCCAAAGTGCTGGGATTACAGGTCTGAGCCACTGTTCCTGGCCTACACTTTCTTTTTTACATTATTGTACTATATGATTACATTTTTATATGTTTAAAAACTAATATGCCTCAATGCAATTCTACTTTATTTTTCAGATTTATACTATGGTGGGGAAGCTTTCTCTGTAGAGCAGCCACAGTCTTTTACTTGTCCCTATTGTGGAAAAATGGGCTATACGGAGACATCTCTTCAAGAGCATGTTACTTCCGAACACGCAGAAACATCAACAGAAGTGGTAAGTGAAGCAGCAGCCTTATGACTAAAATGATGTTGTAAAGTACATTATTTCTAACATTAATAAAGCTAGGTCCTTGTCATCTACTTCCTGTTCAGTGTACTGATACTGTTTGCATAATTATTAAAATTATCTTTTAACAGCAAATTTTATACATCGTGGGAGGCTGCATTTTTGCAAAATAATACCCCTTACTGTCCACACTGAGTTTCTTAACCTGTAGCTAAAACCATAGTATGTTGTCTTGACCAAATTCAGGAGCCCTTTATTCAGTGCACTGTGAAAGATTAAAAGGACAGCAGTCTGCAGTGCATCTCTTGTTATAGTATCCCTGCTATCTGTGCTTAGTTTTTCTTCTACAAGGAACTTTACAAGAAAATTTTAAAACCTTTGGTAGTATCATAATAATCCATTGTCACATCTCATTGTATCATATCACTGATCTTACCTGGTTTTCATCAGATCACATCTCTTGCTTCCTAGGTCAAAGCTCTGGGGTCCCTAGAAGTTCTTCCTATCCTGATCTTTCCAGTGGCTAAAGGCCATGGACCCAGAATAATACACAAAGAAAGTCTTACCTTGAAAGCTTTTTGGAGTTTTCACTTGACATCTGAGTCAGCATGCATCCACCTTCAAGAAATGATAAAGTACACCTAAAAGAGTCTCTCCCCCACCTCTTTACCATTGATAATAATAGGTAAAGTGAAGGCTTTGTATGGAACCTATAGATAATGAATTGGGAGAATTTTGTCACAAGTAATTGCACATTGCATCAACTAATAGGCCCCTAAATGTACTCAAAACAAATTAATTGAAACCCAGAAAATAAAGTAGCATGCTCAGTGGCATACAGCCTAGTAAGGGGCAGGAGCAGGTGTTTGGACTCAGCTAGAGTCCCTCTGGATTCCAGAGTCTCTACTTAACTCTGCTACAGCTATGTGTAAAATACAGGTTTACTTTTATTCCCATTGACACTGCTAATTTGATGCTTGAAGTTGTTAAAACATTTATAGTTCAAACAGTGGATAAATTTATTTTATATAGAACTCAAGCCAAATTTTACTGTCTTAACAGCTCAGAAATGCTCTTGCACCTAGGAGAGCCTCAAACTACAGTTGTCACATTTTACTACTATTCTTATTTTGTTCTTTTTTTTCTTCTACTTTCCTTCCTTTTGGTGCAGTCCCACATACCAGTATGAAGAATCCTGACTCAGTTGCATCTCCATAATGGTGGTTGTGGAAAACTTTCAATCATTTTTCTTTGATTTAATTTTTGTTAAGTTTGGATCCTTAACAAAATACAATACCTAAATACAATAAGGTGAACATAGAGTTCTTATTGTAAATTAGGCATCCTTAAAATCATTATCAGACTGTGCACAGTGACTCATGCCTGTAATCCCAACACTTTGGGAGGCTGAGGCAGGAGCATCACTTGAGCCCAGAAGTTTAAAATCAACCTGGACAACAAAGTGGGGCCTTGTCTCCACAAAATTTAAAAATTAGCTGGATGTGGTGGCACATGCCTATGGTCCCAGCTACTTGGGAGGTTGAGGTAGGAGAACTGCTTGAGCTCAGGAGATTGAGGCTGCAGTGAGCCATGATTGTGCCACTGCACTGCACTGCAGCTTGGGTGACAGAGCAAGACACCATCTCCCAAAAATAATAATAATTATTATTATCAGCCAGTAGGCCCTAGTATACTATTTTCATCACCCCACAGGGGCAAGGCAACTACCCCGTTTTCCATATCCTTGCCTCTGGTTGTTTTTGTTTGTTTGTTTGTTTTCCCGCTGAGAGTAAATTCTCAGAATTTGTGTATCTGGCATATCTGATACACAGTTTGAAAATTAAATACTCACCACCTACAAATGGTTTCATGGTCTGTTTCTCGTGAGTTGTGTTTATGCCGTCATTAAGTTTCCTGGCTTTTGGTACATAGCCCAAGGCAGTTGTCACTCTGTATTTTCATAATGGTTTCTGTGGAATATTTTAAGGATTTATCTCTCTTCATTAGCCCTTAGTCTTTGCATGAGTACCATATCAGCCTCTCTTCCCACCCATACGCCCAGACATTTCAAAGTGAAAAGTGGCAAGCAAATAAGAATCTTTGATATAAAATTACAGGATTTCTTCAGGTCATGTGGGTCAAGTCCTAGAGGCAGGGCTGGCATTCAGCAGGTACACCCAAGTGTAGCATGCTGACTGGTGTCCATTTTGAAGGATTGATGCCTATGCCATACCAGTTGTTAAGTGTTTTGAATGCCTCTCTGTACATATGTGAAACATACCATCCAGTGTGCTACAGTTATATGTAAATGTCCAGGTGACATTAATGTGTGTCCCTTCTGACCCCTTAATGTTTTACATTTTTAAATTAGGGAATTCAAGAGTGATTTACATCATTTTGGTTTGGGGGATTATATCTACACAACAACTTGCTATATCTCCTTTTCTATTCCTTTTAACATGTTCCTTTCTAAATGCTCTGTTTGCTGTCTTGCTTTGTCCACGTTACCTTCATGTGCCCCCTAGACCAGGGTTTCCCAACCCCTGGTCCACGGACGGACCATGGCCTGTTAGGAACCACGCCACAGAGCAGGAGGTGAGCAGTGGGCCAGCGGGCATTTCCACCTGAGCTCTGCCTGCTGTCAGATCAGCAGCATCATTAGATTCTCACAGAAGCACAAGCTCTTTTGTGAACTGCTTTCTGATTTCTTTGGAATTATTTTTCAGTATAGCTAAATTATATAATATTATTTCAAGTTTTGTGAATTCCCAAGGTGTCATCATACACGTAAGCTTTTGTACAAGAACCATGTTTAAAAGTAAAACATAATTGCTTTTTAGGACTTCCTAAATTACATGTAAATGATGTAAATGCTGCTCTCTGGAAGCCAGTGACAAATCTAACTTGAGCATTATGATGTAGGTAGAATGGAATTGAGAAGGAAAATAAATTTAATTGGAGTAATTCACAATTATAAGTTAATTTCACTTACAGTTGAACACTTATTATGTGTTCACTGCAACAACAGAAAATTAGATTGTAATCTAGTTGAATAGTGTGCTCACTCAACTCTTGAAAGGACCTTTATATTTGGCAAAACGGATGGCCAAGGTGCAGGTAGCTACAAGCTAGATGGTTTTACAAGGCCCAAAAGGAGTTTCTTGACCATGTAGCATAGATCATCCACTAGTGCTTTATGTATATTCTCAAAGCAAAACTCCAGTGTCAGTCTCAAAGCAAAACTCCAGTGTCAGATGTTCATTATATCTGCAGATTTTGTAGGATAAACTAATACGTTTAATTGGGCAGGAGATCCAAAAGCCTGAAGTTGTCATTGGCCGTGGCAGATAGTTAGCTCAATGGAATGTCTTTCTTCCTTTTTTTTTTTTTTTGAGACGGAGTTTTGCTCTTGTTACCCAGGCTGGAGTGCAATGGCGGGATCTCGGCTCACCGCAGCCTCAAGCTCCCTGGCTTCAGGCAATTCTCCTGCCTCAGCCTCCTGAGTAGCTGGGATTACAGGCACGTGCCACCATGCCCAGCTAATTTTTTGTATTTTTAGTAGAGACGGGGTTTCACCATGTTGACCAGGATGGTCTTGATCTCTTGACCTCGTGATCCACCCGCCTCGGCCTCCCAAAGTGCTGGGATTACAGGCGTGAGCCACTGCCCCCGGCCCTTTTTTTTTTTTTTTTAATAGGCATTAAAGTATAACACATGTCAAGGGGTTTTGTGTGTTGGCTTTAAATTCAGATGGATCTTTTTGGGTCATTACTCCTCTGTGGAAAAAGAGTGTTTTAAACACTCCCTTCATAGCTTCCCTCCATTCAGAAAATCTCTTGGCATAATAAGCCTGGATGTTTCTGTAGCTGAGTTCTAAGAGCTGCTCAAAAGCAGAGACGTGAATTGTACTCCAGTTTGAAGAAATAATGAAAAATACACACCAATTAAAAAAATTTTTTTTTTGATAGAGACTGGGTCTCACCACACTCTGTGTGGGCCAGGCTGGTCTCAAACTCTTGGCTGCAAGTGATCCTCCTGCCTCAGTCTTTCAAATTGTTGGGGTTTTAGGGATAAGCCAGTGTGCCCTGCCCCAATTTTGGCTCCAGTTTTTAAAAAGAGATGAAATTCCTATGAACTTTAATGCTGCCAGGAACTGTGCTTGTTTCTTTTTTTGTTGTTTTTTTTTTTTTTTTTTTTTTTTTTTTTTTT